TTTATTTTTCTAATTTTTATTTATTTATTTTGTGTATATGAGCACAGCATTAATCCTTTTAGACTTATTGGAGTTGGATTGTCGGTGTGGACACTTGCTACAATTGGTTGTGGGTTTTCGGTTGATTTTTGGTCGATCACTATCTGTCGAATGTAAGTTTACCATTTTACCCTTTCAAACACCATCAACCTTCATAAATTTGATTTTTTTTTTTTTTTTTTTTTTTGGTGTAACTGAAATATTGTTGTTTTCAGGTTAGTTGGTGTTGGTGAAGCCTCTTATATAGGTCTTGCAGCTCCATTGATTGTTGAGAATGCTCCAGTATCTCAGGTTCTCTTTGTTACTTGCTAATTCCCACACATTTATATGTTTTGTGTTTCTAATTTAGGGAAATCTCCAGAAAAGTTTCACACTTTTAGGAAAAGTTTTTAATAAAATCCTAAATTTTAAAAATAGAAAATCTCGACTTTTTAACTTTTTTGATTAAAAAAGCCCAAGAAACCGACTAGTTTATTCACTTGAGCCATTTTTGACTTGTTCAGCAGGTAATGAGACGAAATCCTTAATTTTTCCAAAAATAATGATCAAATTTCGTCAAAACTTATATATAATATATAAACATATTTTTTACATATTTATATCTACTTTTACGTATTTTTGTACTTTTTTAGTTTTTGTATATATATGTTTACGTATTTTTATGTATTTTAAATATATAAACGTATTTTTTACTTATATATGTATTTTAAATGTATAAACGTATTTTTTTACATATTTATATATGTATTTTTTAAGTATTACACATATTTTTTATGTATTTTTATGTGTTATTTTTTATGTATTACGGACTTATATATATATATATATATACATATATATATATATATATATATATATATATACGTATTTAAGGAATTTTTTAACACTTTTTTATATAATTGGTTACATTTTTTATGTATTTTAAAATTTTAAACATACTTTTACGTATTTATATGTATTTTTAAGGGTGTTACATATTTTTTATTTATTTTTTTGTGTTATTTTTTTTATGTATTACGTATTTATGTATTTTTTAAGATTTTTATATTGATGTTTATGTATTTTTATGTATATTATATGAATAAATGCATTTTTTTACATATTTATAAGTATTTTTAAGTATTTTACATATTTTTATGTATTTCTATAGTATGTTTTATTTATGTATTACGTATTTATATGTATTTATATATATATTTTTAAGTTTTTTATATAGATGTTTTTGTATTTTTATGTATTTTAAATGTATAACTACATTTTTTTTACATATTTATGTATTTTTCTACCTCAAGTCATCTTCACCCGTTTCATCCGATTCGTACAGTTTCTTAGAGTATGTCTAGATTGTTTTCCTACATAAAAAAACTATGTAAAATACTTAAAAATATATATAAATACGTAAAAAATATGTTTATACATTTAAAATACATAAACATCTATATAAAAAACTTAAAAAAATACATAAATATGTAAAAATGCATATAAATATATAATACAAAAAAAATAGCATGCAAAAGTACATAAAAATATGTAAAATGGTTAAAAATAGATATAGATAGGGTTATACATTTAATATACGTAAAAATACATACATACATACATACATATATATATATATATATATATATATATATATATATATATATATATATATATATATATAGACACACACACGTAAAAATAGATATAAATACGTAAAAAAATACGTTTATACATTATATACAAATATTGACGAAATCTGCAGAAAAGTGTCATTATTTTGGAAAAATTAACAATCTAGTTTCATGACATGCTGAACATGTCAAAAAGTTTAAAAGTCGGGACTTTTCTATTGAAAAAATAAAATTTAGGAGTTTATTAAAAAATTTCCCAAAGACATTAACTTATTACTCCCTCCGTCCCAAAATTATAGTTCGTTTTTCATTTTTTGTTTGTTTCAAAATAATACTTCATTTCTAAAAATAAATAATATTTTTATCAAAATATTCTCTCATTAGTACTTAACCAACTAAACAGTTAATAGAACATTAAATGCAAAGTAAAAACAAAACTGTTATTTTATTGCATAAAGTTAGTTGTAATTAATGTTTCGTTAATCTGTTTCTTGTCTGTGGATAATAATTTTGGGACTGAGTATTATTATTATTATTATTATTATTTTAATTTATAGTTGCAACAACCAAACTTACATCCATTTTGTTTTATAGAGAACCTTGTGGCTGGGAATATTCCATATTAGCGTACCTGCTGGAGTTGCTATTGGTGATGTCTATGGTGGATTGGTATGCCACCATATAAGATAAGATAAAACAAGCTTTCTAGCATAGTTACCTAATTCGTCCCAAACGCCTCTAATTCGGTGTTCAGGACGTCCTTTTTTCACGTTCCAGCTGAGATTTCATTCTCGGCGGGAAATCGCGGACTGTGTCTCTTACGAAATAGTGGTACTATAATGTTTCATAGAGGTGTATGACAGTGATTTCCCAAATAGTGGTGGCGTTGTTATCGTGATCCACTGTTCTTTCCGTCAATGCAATAGTGGTGCAACAGGCGATATTACAATTTAGGAAGTGATTTGTACACAACCAGGGGCAGATTTAGGTGGGGTCACCGGTGGCACCGGCAACTCCTAACTTTTCCGGCCGCAATTGAAAATTTTTCGAAATTTTTAAAAATTTTACTTTTTCTACTATCGTGCAACCCCTGACTTTCTCGTGCAACCCCTACTGTGAAATCCTGCATGTGAATCCTGCGTCCTCCCCTATACACAACAGATTTTCGCCACACACAACAATTTATGTTTTACAGAGTTGTACAATACAACATTTTAAAGCACCAATTGTTGTATGTGGAGAAAAATTGTTGTGTACGAATCACTTCCTTTACAATTTAGTCCATCTTGCGCTACTTGACAAAGAAAAATGCATCTATGGGCTATTTAAATATAATTATGTTCTTTCTATTTTTAACTAGCTCAACCGAATATATTGATTTTGTTTAAATAACCCAATTGCCCAGATATCAAAATGCAAACCTAATTAGAAAGCACACAAATTCTCCTCTTTTAATTAGAATGCATGACTAATTTCCATATTACTATATTAGAATATTATGTATTTATGCTTTATGTTTTATTTTTATTTTTATGACTTTTAATGATATTGGTTCTATATAATATAATTAGTATTAGTACTCTAATATATAAATTATATATAAATATATAATATAAATTATACATAAAAACACGATATACAACCGCACCGCTAAAGTTGTCAAAATCAGGATCCTAGGTACGATCGTTTTTGGGTTTGAAAGATTAGGATCGGGATCCTAAGACCCTACAAAATAAAACATAAGTTTAACTAATTATTTTCAAACATTTAGTTTTCTGTTCAAAAACTATAAAAACTTCAAAACTTTAGTTACAACTTACAATACAAAATGATAAACGATAAATTGGTAAAGGATAAAATATATGAAGTTGTAAATCCATTTTTTCATTTGCATAAAAAAAGTCAAGGGAAGGTAGGATCGGATCGGATCCCGATCCTACGATCATACCTGCGATCCTACCCTAAATACGATTTGTATGCGATATGGGTCATTTTTCATACCTAGTATCTTACTTTCTTACGATCAAGATTGTGATTTTGATGACATTGATCACCACGATTTCAAATAGTAGCCGGTGATCGTTATTTGAATTTTGACCGCGATAACTGCATTGTTTGTAATCACTGTAAAGGGAAGTTTACAAGCTCTTACACCAAAATTGTGCACTTTTTGACATTAGAAGATGCTTAACCATGATTAGAGATCAAGAAAGGCATGAAAGACTTTTGAAGAATGTAAAAGAAGCAGGAAATTTTGCTCTCTCAAAGTGTTTGAAGAATTTAGTACTCGCTAAAAAAATTATCCTTTAGGAAACACATAGAAGAATCTTTTGGCATATTAGAGAGAAACACGATGGACTTGATGATGATTCGAGGATTGTGTACTAATGGAATTCCTTTTCAATATGTCACCTAACTTGCAATTTCTAGAAATGGTTAGTGCCATCAAGAATACACCAGATGGATACAAACCCCCCATCATGTGTAAAAGCAAGAACCTTATTATCTGATGAATGTGTTAAAGATGTTGAGAAAGAGCTCCGGTTAAAGACACATGATATGCACAAGGAGTCTCAATCGTATCAAATTGGTGGTGTAATGTTACACAACCCTCTATCAATTTTCTTGTGCTTAATTTGCATGGTGTAATGTTTATGTACTCGGAAGACTTCTACGGGGTGAAAAAAAAGGGGTTGTAATTTCTAAGTTTCTTCTTGGAGCCACTAATAGCATTGGACCAAGCAATGCGTTACACGTTGTAACAAACAACACAACTAATTGCAAAACGGTTGGGTGGGAAATCAAGAAGGTATACATATATATTTTTGGTTCCTTTTTGTGTGCACACTGTGAATATGATCTTTAAAGACTTGGCTATCAAATTTTATTAGCTAACCTCAACATATAAGTAAGGTAAGGAAATTATCAAGTATTTTCTTAACTACACCCATGGCTTACATTTTTTTTAGAGAAAACTCAATATTGGAGTTATTGAAGGTTGCGAAGACATGTTATTGAATTATAGGAAGGCCCTTTGCATGACTATCATCCTCAATTCTTGGCGGGAATGGGTAAAAAATGGGAACGAAAATATTCGAATAGTTGGGCAAAGGTCACTGATACAATTAAGGATTACGAGTTTTCTAAAGATGGTGAGAATATTTTGGCTATTACAAAAACCCCATATTTTGCTAATTAAGTTTTGTGATGGTGAAGGTCCCAAAATGGGAGAAATATATGAAAGAATGGACAACATAAAAGAATGGACAACATGCTAGGTGAACTCAAAGATAATATGTTGGAAATAAATATTCAAGTTATTACCCTCAAGTTGGAAATATTGTTGTG